TCGAATATAACTCGAGGTTTCGATTCAAAAATTATAAAAGTAGAAAATAAATTAGTAGAACAAGTATATGAGAATGTGCCAAGAAATGAGACGAATCTAAAAAAAAATGTAATAATTCTTCAATTAGGTTTTAACCCACTAGTCTCTTTATGGCTCGAGGAGACTAATTTTAAAAATCCATCATTCACCGAGTTCTTGAGTTATGTATACGTAGCATACATGATAGATTTAAATATGAGATTGATGCTATTGAACGCTAGTATACATGATAGGATTAATTTAATTAATCAAATGATAAGACCTATTAATATAAAATCCCTTAAACAAATATTGAGAGATTTTTTTATAAATGATAAAAAATGAGAGCAATCTAAAAAATAAAAGGAACGCTTATGATATCATAATAAAGTCGAAGATCCTATTTAAGGAGAATACCTATCATGAGCACTATGAGATAGCCAAGAAGCTCTTTAAAGCCATAATGGATGAAGTATCTAATATTGAGAAGCATGTCGCATCATTTTAAAATATATGATGATAAATTAAAAGTATATTTGCAAAATGTTCCTTTAACTCGATCATACTTAATTTTAAAAAATAATGTAGAGGAAAACAATTATTGCATTCATTTTATACTTAATTTACCAACGTTCTTGTTAAAATGTAATATTTGAAAAGAGCTAAAATAATGCCGGTGTATAATTTTTTATTTTTTAATCTTTTGCTTCTTTTCCCTAGAAATTCCATCTTTGCTTGCCATGGCATTAGTCCATTATTAAAGAGACAATATCCACTTTGATTTTTTTTTTTTTGGTTAGTTTCACTACTTTTGAGAAACTACAAATTTTTTTTTTAAAAAAATACCATAGATACCTAATGATTTTATAAATTTACTATTAGAATTATTTTTCTACCGAAAATATACATTTTTGTATAGTGCATATATATGTGTGTGTTTTTATCCCCAAGGTATCCTTTAGCCTCAAAAATTTAAGTTAATCCCTTACTGTTACGTCATATGCGCAAGGAGGCGCGACTTCTTAAAAAGTTTTACTGCACACATAAGAATATGATCCCGACTCTATTTGTTTAAGTGACTAGAACCTTTTTCATTTATGCCAATTATTTTGGATTGTCTAGTATATATTTAAATCGCATGTAAGGACAATTTTAATGTGCCTCTTGAATTTTTGGTGTCTATTGTTATTAGACATATGAGCCTATTAAATCCATTACAAACAAGGCCTCGATTGCTCTAAAGAAGTAATTTGGTGAAATAGAAAGACATTGTCTTGTAATATACCACTCGAAAAGCCATCTAACTCAACTTTCACTATGTTATCAAAACTTATTGCTTTAGATGCTTTCAAAGTTTAGTACCTCAAGATATGTATGATAATCCTAGAAAAGATAATAAAATTAATAAATCTAACATCTACCCAAAGACAACACACCAACAACCTTTAAAATATGAGGTATATCTCCCTAATCGATATTGTCACTATCCATTAATTCAATATTTAAAGCAATCTCAATGTCATAGGATGCAGGAGGAGGGGTGTGATGGCCATCGGGACCCATATTATGAGGGATCCATCATCTAGCCTAAATCAAGTCGTCATTATGTTTTTGAGGTTTAGATATAGTTGACGAGAGAATCACGAGTTAGAGCACCGAAAGTCTGTATGAAATTATTTTGCCATGAACAAAATAGAAGGGTCCGACGTTAAATGTTTAATAGAGATATCGATAGCGAGAGGGATGGGTATTTTTTTTTATCTATTTATATGGATTTTAAGCCTCCAATTATAATTGCCTACTTGAGTGATTCATGGGCTTGTTAAATGTAGGTTGTTTTGCAATGATAGAAAGTCTAACCTCCTACATGTTATCAACAAACGCTATTTCATTGGCTTTCGATTTAGGCCAACAAGTATGAGACCTAGCCACGAGCCAATCTTTCAACGAAAACAAAATCATTTAAAATAGGATTCATGGGTATTGGAGATAGATTAGGTTCTTTTTAATCAATATTTTCAACATGTAAAGAAGCGAGACCTATTTTTATTCTCCTTTGCATATTATTTCCCATTATCCATGAGACTTATTTTCCTTGAGTGGCGTTGAGATATTTTCTCTACAATTATCCATCGATGAAATCATGTTTTTATAATAAATTCTACATGAATATTAGTTTTCTTATCCATTCTCATGTCACCTTTACTATAGATAAAACTCTCCAAGAAGATTGAAGTAAAAGAAGGGTAAAACATTAGGTTAATGGTTCAAAGAGTCCTTTTACTCTTGTTTTTATCCTAATCCTATCATTTCACAAAATTTTTTTATTAATGTCATCTCTCAATATTTACTCTATGTCTTAATTTCGTCCCTCCATCTAAATTTTTAGATAACGACGTGAAATCTTAGTGAGAGATGCACATGATATTGATATGTGATCATTTTTTGTTTCATTTTTGAAATTAAGTAAATATATTTTTTGAAATAAAAAAAATAAATAAATAAAAGGCCACCATTCCCCCTATATAAAAATCCCGAAATCCTTAATTTTTTTTTATCTCTTCAATTATCATTGATCGATCAAAGAAACAACACTAATCTTTTTCTTTTTCTTTTTCTTTTTCATTTTTTTGTTAGCCAACCATCTATTCTCTATAATTTTTTCTCATCCCTCTCATCATTTCTCCTTTTATCTATTTTTCGTCTAGTTGTAAAGATAGAAAATTAAAGAGAGAGCAAATTAAGGTCATTGACGTTGTTTCTTATGGAAAGATTGAGGTCGTTGACTTGTGGTAAGACGTCTTATTTGTGGATTAAAGACATCAACACATTTTGGGTCATTGATGTTGTGCTTCAACTCGGTAGTGTAAAAAGTTTCCTCTAGACCACTCGCATCTATCACTTTGACTACCTCAACATTTAAATTCATGTTCTTTTTCCTCTCGACTCTATTGTGGACTTACCCCTTAAAACTCACTCCGTGCTCGGACAATGATGCCTCTGTCATTATTTTCACTCTTCATTCGTCTTACTAGTCTTGTGTCAAGTTGAAAGCTTCTACAAGTAGCAACTCATCGAAGCCACTTAAGACATTATAATTTCTTTCTTGCAAGGATCTCCACATTAGGCCTTCATATACCCCCATCCCAAATTGGCCTCTTTAGGAAAAGCTTATTCGGCTTTGTAATTCTTGTTGTGGGTTATCGACTGGGTTGGATTTCTAAAATGGAATATTAAATTAAATATAATGCAATCACTTGTATGATTAAATTAGAGTTAGGTTGGGGAATAATCAAAACTTAATAACGAGATTTTGAGGTTTTTATATAGAAAGCATTTTAGATTTTTTTATTAGTTATTTTTAAAATTTATTTACTTAAATAAAAAATATAATATAATTTTTTTTGTTATGTGTTAACATCCTGTGTATTTCTCATCGAGATTTCATAATGTTACCTAAAAATCTAGACAAAATGATGAAATTAAGATACACGAGTAAATGTTAAGGGATGAAATTAATAAAAAATTAATGAAAAGACAAGATTAAGATAAAAACAAGAGTAAAAGGACTCCTTAAACCATTATCCCGTAAAACATTGGACAATCAACTTCCTTATGACCATATCTTCCACAATAAAAACATTTGTGAATGCCTTTATACACTACATTGTATGGTTTACCATTCAAGTTGATTTGACCAACTAGAGGACAACCCAATTCAATCGTAATGCAAATTCTTGCAATTTTTTTTTCGATTAGCAATGGTAGTATTCTTATCAATCTTGAAAGGAGTACCAATACCAAAAGCTAACACCATTCGGATATCCTCACCATAATATTGCATATAGATGAGCAAAATTTTACCCCAAATGAGAAGCTGTGTCAACTGCTTCTACTAAAGCTAAAAAGTCATGGTTTCATCGTGAGATAGTGATCAAGGATCATCGAAGATTCATCTTCGATAGCCTTTTTCAAGTCATCTCTATCATCAAATTTGATCATAAAGAATTCACACCCTAATTCCAAGACATCAAACCCTCTCTTACATTTCCAAAGCAATATAATTTTAGAGTATAACATACGAAAGGACATAATTTAGCCTCATAACTTAACCATAACCGATTGACGCCATAATGACTCCAAAACGGAGAGAAAGAGAGGGTTAGCTATGAAGTTAGTAAATAATAGATTATTATATTTAAAACCCTTCTTTATAAAACTTGATGCAATAAGGTCAACTGATTCACGAATGTTTACTTGCATAATCTTCTCTTTTTTGTCTTTTATAAGCCACGAGTTTATCCAAGAAAGAGGGCTTAAAGGTTGAACTTGTTTAGCTTGATGTGCTTGCCGGAGGACTTGGTTGTGAGAGGGGTAGATGTCATAAAAAGATTTGGTTTTCTTAGTGGGTCAAGGTCAGACCATTCAACACATTTTTTAGGTTAGAGAAACTCATTCGTTTTTTTTTTTTTTTTGCCTACTTTCCATCCATCCAACCAATATTTTAAAATAGATTTGCCCCACATTTGGTCTTTGTACTATTTAAATTTTTTAATTGAAATCTTTTACTTTTTTTATAATCTGATTGAAATCCTCTACTCTTAAAAATTTGTTGATTCAAATATTTATCTGATATGATATGTTAAAATTAACGATAATTAATCACAAATAGACACATGTCATACTCGATCTCAAGTTATAATGTCTCTGTCTACAAAAAAAAAAAAAAAAAAGATTTATCATTTAACTAATATTTAGTATTTAAAAATGAAATGAAAAGACAACATTGTCTCCACCCCCATCATCCGAACTTAACTTATTCTCTCTCTCAAACTCACTCTCTAGCTCTCTCCAGCTGAAAATCCCTAAATTATTAAAATTCTATTATCCCAAACCTGTCCGTGAACTCTTCCACATTCAGCAAAATAGACCTCTTTACTGGACAAAACCCTCCAAGCTTGTTCTACATCCTCCATGGTCCCATGAGTCCAAGAGAAATCCTACTCAAACTCATGAACATGATGATTAAAGACCAGTTGAAGAAGTTGCTTTCTGAGCTTGGACATTTCTTCCATGGTTTTACGGCTCCAAGCATTTTCGTGGCAGATTTCCACTGGGCTTGTAGAAAGTTTAAAGCAATGCAAGGCATGAGCGACAGTCAAAGTATCGCTAGTAGAATTGGAAAATCTAGCACGCGATAATTTAGCTGTTTCTTTAAGTTTTTTTTCCTTCATCTTTTTTTCCTCGTAATTTGAATAACTGTAAGGAGCATTCGAGAGTGGCGAGGACTCATGGGATAACAATCCATGGCCTTTCCTAGGGATGCTAGTCTTCCTGTATCATGATGAGCTTCAAGGGTCTTCAAGCAACATTCTGCTTCTACATAAAAGAGAGAGGACAATGTTATCTTTTTTCCACTTATTTTTAAATACTAAACGTTAGTTTAACAATAAAAAAATTAATTTTTTTTTTTTTATTTCGGAAGGAAAGGAAACTGTAACCATTGGGATCCATTATGCAATGTATTAATTCGTAATTGTTGATTATTAGTTATAAAATATCATGTCAGATGAAAAATTGCATTAAAATTTTTTGAAAAATTGAAGATTTCAATTAACTTAAAAAAATGAAAAATTTCAATAAAAAAATAAAATTGAAAAGGACCAAATGTGAGATAAATCCATTTTAAAATGGATTGTGATGTCCATGTTAACTATTAATTGGGTTGATTTTATTTTTATTTTTATTTTTATTTTTTATGTCATGCCCGTTAAAATGATGATTCAATGTCTTTGTATACAAGAAGGTGCTCTTTCTAGCCATTCCTCCTCTCAGGAAGTAAAAGAAACAAAAACGAGTTATATAAGCAGACATCGTCTAACAATTATACATCTGATGACTTTCTTCAATGAAATAAATTATGAGTTATAATAATTTTAATTTATATAGTTATTATATAATGAGAAAAAGCTACCTTCGGTTCTACACACGGGACATGTAGCTGTAGAGGAAGGGAGGCCTTTAGACAACACTTTGTTTACTCAATCGTGTAGTGTAAGAAAAGTTAAAACATTTCGCAAAATGTCTCGTAATCAACTTGGCTTACAAACCAAAAAGGTCCTTAATTTCCTTATCATCAACTGCAACTTATCTTGCGCCACGGTCTAACTAGCAAAGGCGATGACAAAATTCCGCGCTAATTATTTAATCCATCGTCGTTTATGAAAGCAAAGGATGGAATTCTTGTTTGTGGTGTTCAAGAAACTTGGAAAAGTTATACAGGGTCTGGGCTCCTTGAGCTGAAGTATCAAACAAGCTATATATTGGGCCACATCAAGTGAAAATGGGCCTGTTCCATGGGCTTTTCCAATAATCACTGATTCTTATTCTTTTTCTTCTTCAGACTCATCACCTCCTTTGGCATCGACCACGGTTACAGAGCGACGAGCACAACTCTCTCTTTGAACTCTAAAAACTTGAGGAAAAGAAGACCAAAAAAAAGCAATGTTAAGAGCATCTTGCATCCCGCCAGTAGCAACACCAGCACTCTCTGCTATCAAAATCTCTCTGATTCCCACTCTCTCACTCTCCTCTTCACTTCCTCACCTTCACAAACTCTCTAAATTTGCTCCACTCCATAATTTCTTTCCAAAAACAGTCCCACCCAATTCACCTTCTCTCTCCTTCAAAAGGGTCTTACCAATGTTGAGTCAGCATCCTTGTCCAAAAGGTGCATCTGGGCAACTCTATCAAAACCGCATGTTTCTTCTTTCGTTTTTTGGTGTGTTAAACATTTATAATTGAGCTTTGCAACAGAAGTTTTGATTTTGTGTGCTGTTTCAGCTTCTTTTAGTTCTGGGAGCGGCACTGGAGGTGGAAGAGAGATATTGGTGCAGCATTTGCTTGTTAAAGGAGATGACCTCAAGCTTTTGTTGGAGCTTCAACAGAGAATTTCAGGAGGTTGGTCACTATTACACATTTGATACATGAAGCGGAGTTGTTTTCCTGAATTGACGTTTTCTTTCTTATGTCAACATTGTATTGATAATTTATTTGAAGCTATAGAGGTTTTGTCTTTCTTTGGAGTAAAGAGAAAAGAGTGGTTTTTTTTTTTGAAGTTTAAACTGTTGCAGACAATTTAGCTCTAAAATTCAAATGTTTAATGCTATGGTGTTGTATTGTTTTTTGTTTTAAGGAGGAGAGGATTTGAGTGACCTTGCAGTGGAATACTCATTATGTCCATCCAAAGAAGAAGGGGGAATGCTTGGCTGGGTTAGAAAAGGGCAGATGGTATGTGGATTACAATGGAATTTGTTTCCATGCGCGTTAAATTTTTTAAATTAATTCCTTAACTCCTAGTTGGTATTTTGTATCTCACTAATGGGAGGTTCACCAGGGAACAAATGGTTTAACAGGAGTATGGTTTCTTAAGTTGCATTGCTGTTTCGTTTCCTGCCAAGAAGGTAGAAGCATGTTGTTGAAATAAGTTTAGTGGATATATCATAGTTGGCTACCTCATCTACAAATTTGGCGAACAAGTCCTAGTACCCTAGGGAGCTGAGGTTTTAATGAACTGCCTGACGAGTTCAATGATTTGCCTTAATGTTTTATGTTTAGATAGACGAATGGACTTTACTCACATTTGAGACACCAAAGGTAATGAATAACTCAGCTTTCCTTGCCAGCTACATTGATAATTAATGTTCAAATGTCACAGGTACCAGAATTTGAGGAAGCTGCTTTTAGTGCCCCTTTGAACAAAATTGTTAGATGTAAAACTAAATTTGGGTGGCATTTGTTGCAAGTTCTTTCTGAGAGGTATGCCTATGAATCCTATTCCATTTGATTTCTGTGCCAAAGAGAAGGCAGTGTTGGCACCTACTCTGACTTCTCCATGAATATGTTCCTTTTGAATCTATAATTTGTGCTCCAGGGAAGAATCTCTACTTGGAGAAATTCAAGCAGATGAACTTCATGTAAAAATGCAAGATCCTACATTTGCCGAACAAGCTCAGTTGATTGATGTTCGAGAACCAGATGAAGTGTATGCTCTCTTTCTGCATTTTACCCTCCTACTCAAGCACCTTTTTTATTTTTTATTTTCTTTTGAAATTAAGTTTTATTGATGACTGAGATGTCCAAATTTTTTATATTTCTATCTGTTCATGATTTTACCATGTTTGTAACTATAGCATGTTTCGGTTCAAAATTGTTATTATTTTTTGGTTAATGATTTAAATATGAGCAATTTTTTAAAGTATTATGTGGATCAAAAGTCATAGATTGATATTGAACATTCTACAATCAGCCATAGTGAATGAAAAATTATGAGCCTGTTTGCATATTCAGGGATCTTGCCTGAACTTGATTAATTTGCTGTACTTTTTAGAAAAAAATCTAATTGATTGTTCAATTTAATTAGAGGGATTAAAAGGTTTCCTTTGTGGATTTTACATAGCAGGTCTTCTTGCAATTGTTTTTTTTTTTTTTTTTTTTTTTTTTTATGCAACATAATGGGTTATGGGGAAATGTTTATAATCCATGAAATTGAGATTTGTTTTTGTTCTTAAGCAAAAAATTCTGACTGAAGGGAAGGGAAGCAGCTCTCACCATATCTCCTTTTTTGATGCATAACAGTATGTTTGTGTTCTCAGATTTTTTTGGTAGCTGTTGGATTTTTCTAATTTGCTTTTCAATTTCCTTTTTGTTTTGCTCCCTTTTCAGTGATATGTATTTTATATTTTGACTGTTCTGATCATTTCTACATGATAGGGACAAAGCTTCTTTGCCAGGTTTTGAAGTACTTCCCCTTCGGCAGTTTGGAACCTGGGGACCAGAAGTTACTACCAAGTTTGATCCTGAGAAGGATACTTATGTTATGGTGTGTACATTTATTGTCATTTAGTGCAGAAAGTTTCCTTTCTATTGTATAAAATTATTTCATACAATGAAGAGATGTTATCTTATGAAGCTTCCTAGTCTGTAATGATTTTCCTCTTATATTTAACTAATTGAGAACTTTTTCAATTTCTTATGCACTTTCCTTTTGATAAGTGAGAGAGTTTTTTTTGAATACTGGCTATTTTTCTTAGAAGCATTGCTGTTACTAGATGTTCAAATGTCTATAATGTGGTGCATAGCCTATATCTGAACCAAAACGATCACTTCCGTGGTAATCTTGCTGCAGTTTTCTATTCTTTGGTATTTTTCTAGTGCCCTTGCCATATGCTTTATTGAATTTCCTGGTGTGTGGTGTCAAATGTTGTTAATTCATAGATATGAATTATAGGAAAACTATATTTAGTATCGCAGCGATTGCTTGTGTTGAGGATGCTTGATGGTATTGCTATATTATGCCTGTTCTTAGACAATCTCAACTTTTGAGATAGAGCATTCAGCTGGTTAATATTTACGTATGCTGTTTAGTTAATTTTTGCCTAATCAGTTTGAATATAGATTAATTTGAATTCTGTGGTGTTTTATTCCGTGGGGCCTTTTAAATGGTTTTTCATCTTGTACTATCCATGGCACTTATATTTTATATTTCCCTTTGTGTTTTAACCATAGTTTTTCTTTCTCTGCTATCATATACTTTTCTTTTTCTGAAATTCCTTTTTTTTCCATAAATAGCAAATCTCTTTGAGGAAGGGAAAAGTCAATCCTTTTTAGAATGCTAAGAAATGTTTTGTTTGCAGTGTCACCATGGGATGCGGTCACTACAGGTTGCTAGGTGGTTGCAGTCTCAGGTAAAACTTTTATCTTTTATTCTTCTTTTCTTTAGAAAGGATAAATAAATTACTGTAGGGAGTGTGAGCTACCATAAGGAAACAAGCATCTTAATCTTTTTATTTCTTTGTGTTCTTTTAGTATGTTGTGATGCTTATTTCAGAGTTTAATGAATATCAGAAATTCGTCTTACTGCTTGATTTTGTCATCTGTAAATTTAAGTTGAAATGCCCTGTTGGGAAATGCCATCTTTCATTTTTTGGGGAAAAGAAGCCATGCTAATTTCCTTATCTCATGCTCTGTATCATCAAATTGGATTTGTGTGACAATCACGATTATAGCTTGCTTCTGTTTTCCATGAAGTCATTCTTTATTATTTTTTAGTACTTCCATGCATTATCTTCCTTGAGTTTTAATAAAGTAATGGCAATCTTTGCACCCCTTTCACTGGTGTCCTCTGTAGTTTTACACATCCATTTCTATATCTCTAAAGTTACCGTATGTTAAGCAGGCTGTGCTGATTTTCCTGTTTTAGGATCTGCATTATTAGATTATGTATGTAGCATGAACAACATTGCAACTCATCTTGTGGTCCACAGAAGTTGTTTTATATATTTTGCTAAGATAAGCTTGCATTTTTCTTAAACTTTTTCTGGTCCAATCCCATATAAGTCTATCTTACTAGTCTCTGTTGTCCACAGGTGTCATTCTGTCTGATTACTGGGGTCTGTATTAGCCCCTATATTTTTTTGGTTCCGATCAGGCTATTCGATTGATCCTGTATTAGGCCATACTGTTTAACACTGCATCGTCAAATTAGATTTGTGTCAGCAGTGTCCATTACAACCCATTCTTTTGGTCCATAGAAGTGATTCTTCTTCATTTACAGGGACAACCTTGCATCTTTCTCAGTATATATATATATATATATATATAAACCACAAAAGTGAAAACAAGAAAAGAATAAGAAGCCAGTGATTCTGTTTGTTTTGTCCAATTGGTTGCTTTGTGTATTTCGGCCAACCCATTGCCCTTTTTCCATTTTTTCTGCAATATCCCCAACTTTATGCATTTGCATGCTACTCTGTACACCTTACATAAGGCATTTTGTCTGAAGAATGGCCCTTATTTTCAACTCTACTAGATTGATATCATGTCAATTTTTTGGACCTAATTTTTGTTTCGTTAATGTGGTTCAGATTGTAATCTCTCGGTTGATTTGATTCTTGATTATTCAGGGTTTCAAGAGAGTATTTAATGTTTCTGGGGGCATACATGCATACGCTGTCAAGGCTGATTCATCAATTCCTACTTACTGACAATCCAGTTTTGTTGATTGAGGTACCTCGCTTCAGTTGTTGCTCTTCTCGAATTGAAACTGTAGTGATGTTGTATGCATCTGCTATTGGGGGTTCTTGAGAAAGAACACTGGATAAAAGTATTCTATTTAGAAGATTTTCTTGCAAGTTCTGCAGTTATTCCCCCAAGGAAAAACAGAACAGAATGAGTTTTCATGTATCTTATTTTATGTAACTAATACCAGAAATGGAATCATCCATTCAGAAGATACCATACATTTTCCACTGAAGGGGTATGAAATTGGATTAGTTTTCCCCAATAATTTAGAGTAGGAAAGAGAAATTTTCGATAAAGACGGACTTCTTCTTCCTTTGACTTTTGTTTGGAATATGAACTGTTAAAATTTCATTATGGTGGTGTTCATTCAGTTAATAAACATCAGACATACCCCATAATGTGATCAAATTGGTTGTCAAAATCAAAAGGATAAATGTGGTAAAGTTATGATGCTTCCGCAGAATATTTGTATGAAACGGGGATTGACGCTTATTTAGTAAATTTTCATTTTAAGCTTGCTTGCTTGCTTGCTTGTAGGAGCATCCTCGTTTTAAGGTTCCGATAAAGAAGGGAAAGAAAGAAAGAAAAGAATGCTGACCCTATTTAGAATTATTTGTTACTAATATTTTTCTCTTTCCATAAGGCTAGGGCGTAGGGCAATCCTCGGAATGCCTATTACAGCGCAGCAACAGAACTGTTAATCAGTTCCCAATCTCCCAAAACAAAAAAAAGATAAAAACAACAATCTACTCTTATCGTGGGTAAGTATAGAAGCGTCTGTCTTGGCATTTCAGCAACAGTGCCAACTATGACATAGCAGTGCAATCTATTAATATCTTTCCAATGGGGATACGAACTGAACTTTAAAAAGAGACACACAACGGTTATTTAATTTTCCCGGGAAATTCTCTCAACCAACCTTGGTTCTTGAAATATTTTCTTCCCAATAATTTCAGAACGAATACCAAAAATAGATCGATTCAACACACTTTGCACACGCCATGCCCTGAAATCCCTCACCGTCAATCCTCTCTCAGTCCTTACACCAAAATCCAACCTGTTTCCACTCATTTTCCCCCCCCAACATTTTTATGACTCTTTCTAATCCTCTCTTTTCTCACACATCTCCCTTTCCCACCATCAAAAAAACTAAAGAACTCTCTCTTTAATCCACCACCACCACCGTTGCCACAACCTATTTTGTTTCCCTTCCATAATGGGCAACTGTTGCTCCAGAGGTGGTGCCCAGGATGCCTCAACCAATAAGGGAGACAACACCGATGGTACTAATCCCACCGATGGCCAGCTGGATGCTCCGTCCACCACCCCACCTAGGACTGCTCCGCCTTCACCCCCTACAGGAGCTTCTCCGAAGCCTGCCAAGGTTGCCCCTACTGGACCTGTCTTGGGCCGTCCGATGGAAGATGTAAAATCTATTTACAGCATAGGAAAAGAACTTGGCAGGGGACAATTCGGTATCACACATTTGTGCACTAATAAGGTCACAGGGGAGCAATTCGCGTGCAAAACAATAGCCAAGAGAAAGCTTGTCAATAAGGAGGATGTGGAGGATGTTAGGAGGGAAGTTCAGATTATGCACCATCTGACGGGTCAGCCTAATATTGTGGAACTCAAGGGAGCCTATGAGGATAAACATTCGGTTCATTTGGTGATGGAGTTATGTGCTGGAGGAGAGCTCTTTGATCGCATTATTGCCAAAGGTCATTATACGGAGCGTGCTGCAGCTTCTTTGCTTAGAACCATTGTTCAAATTGTGCACACCTGCCATTCTATGGGAGTCATCCATAGGGATCTCAAGCCGGAAAATTTCCTTCTACTTAACAAACATGAGAACTCCCCACTCAAGGCCACTGATTTTGGCCTTTCTGTGTTCTACAAGTCAGGTTGCAATCCTATTCATCCTACCTTTATTCTCTCTCTCTCTCTCTCTCTCTCTCTCTCTATACCGGAATATCGAACAATGAATGAAGAAAGGATGAGAGAAAAGCAGGCATGTCATTGGTATAGGTAATAACAATGGTTTTTTTTTTTTTTCTCTGACAGGAGAAGTATTCAAAGACATTGTTGGAAGTGCATATTACATTGCACCTGAAGTCTTGAAGAGAAGATACGGACCAGAAGCTGATATATGGAGTGTTGGGGTCATGCTGTATATTCTTCTAAGTGGTGTTCCTCCCTTTTGGGCAGGTAAATCATGCTTATCCATTTTTTATTGTTAAAGTAGATTGTGTCAATGAGATCTTTTATGCTAAGAAAAAAATCACTGGTAATTTGGCAGAATCGGAACACGGGATATTCAATGCAATCTTACGCGGCCATATTGATTTTACCAGTGATCCTTGGCCTTCAATTTCACCTCAAGCAAAAGATCTTGTTCGGAAGATGCTAACTTCAGACCCCAAGCAAAGGATGACAGCCGTCCAGGTTCTCGGTAAGTACACTTAGCTCTACCATCTTCAAATTATATGCAGCAATAATTTCATAAGGCATCCAGTTGTAATAATGCAAGGATAATCATCACCCATCAGCAATTAAATTCTGATATAGTATGCTTGGTTTTTATTAGGTCATCCATGGATCAAGGAGGATGGAGAAGCTCCTGATACTCCTCTTGACAATGCGGTGTTGAGTAGGCTCAAACAATTCAAAGCAATGAATAACTTCAAGAAAGTTGCTCTAAGGGTACCAAAAAATTTCACCATTTTGAAAGAAATTAAACATGTGTTCAAATTGAATGATATATGTTATTTCATTTGGTGTTTAAATAGTCCATTAGTATTTAAACAGTCCATTTGTAGCTGTTTAGCACAGTGACTAATGCTTGGTATTGCATGAACTTGCGCTTATCTTTCCCTCTTCACAAAATGGGATTAGGTCATTGCTGGCTGTCTATCAGAGGAAGAAATCATGGGATTGAAGGAAATGTTCAAGGGCATTGACACTGACAACAGTGGTACCATAACACTTGAAGAGCTGAAACAAGGACTTGCTAAGCAAGGGACAAAGTTGTCTGAATATGAAGCTAAACAATTGATGGAAGCTGTAAGTTCTAAGAGTCCATCTCGATGCAAAAGAATCAAAGTTTAATGTCAGAATAAGATAGTCTTGCAAAATTCTGAATTCTTTTATATATCATCAGAATCTGTAAACGTCTTTTTTTTTTTCTTTTTTCCTATTTCCTCCATAAACAGGCTGATGCAGATGGCAATGGGACTATAGACTATGACGAATTCATCACAGCAACAATGCATATGAACAGAATGGATAGAGAAGAGCATCTTTACACTGCTTTCCAACACTTTGATAAAGATAATAGCGGGTAATGACATTAACAAAATATAAAATTTGCTTCATTAAATTTTGTATCTGTTTAGTAGGCTTTCTAATGTGATACAAATGCTCATTTTTATAAACCTATGCATGTATGTAGGTACATTACAACTGAAGAGCTAGAGCAGGCTCTGCGCGACTTTGGCATGCATGATGGAAGGGACATAAAGGAAATCATTTCTGAAGTAGATGCAGATAATGTAAGCACCAAATTAAAAGATAGTCAATAACTTTAATTCTGTATTGCATTTTCAGTTTGTGATTAGAAAATCCTGAATATTTTCTCAGGATGGCCGAATCAACTATGATGAATTTGTGGCAATGATGAGAAAAGGAAACCCCGAAGCCAATCCAAAGAAGCGGCGTGATGACGTATTTGTTTGAGTTTGTAAGGGGAGAATGGCAGGGAAAACAGAATGACTATTTATCTTTGTTTCCCTTTAATGGGAGCAAAAGCTGTAGGATATGCAGAAGCTGCCAGAAGAAATTTGGTCGTTCAATGTGGATGCTACAGAATGTACACTCTTTGGTGGGGAATGAGGTCTGTGAAATGGGTGTGTTATTGTCTCTCCCATTTTTAAACGTTGTAACCATTCAAAAAGAGTCATTGTTTACTAATCTTTAGGAAAGTAAAGGGTGCATTTTTTTTCATTGTATTTGTTCTTGTCCAGTTTAGGAATATATATATCTAGTGACTGTGATCGCTATAGACTTACTAACAAGAAATTTGATATTGTTTTTAGGAACTCTTTGTCCTTTTGGCGGGATTTATGCTTTCCGTTTTGTCTTTACCATTAAGGTTCTTTTTGTGACCATTCAAACTAAAATGAATAGAAAAGACAGAAATGATAAAAATCAATATAAACAATTGGCAGAAATTCGAAGAGCATTATTTTTCATGCTTTACAGTAAAACTCAGCCAGATCTTTGGTACAAGCTTAGTTGTGCGTTACTATCTCGTGATTTTAGCAATTCTGAATAATGATGAAGCAGCTATGTGCTAAATCCTTATGCATTCATGTTTCATTTTGAATACATAAAAGTTGTACTGCCTTATTCACAGAGAATCAACTACACAGTGTCTTCAATCCATTAGACGGGAAATGCGATCTGAGGATAATGTAGCTCTTAATGGCTATTCTTAGGGTGGTGGTGTTTCCTGATTGGTGGTGGTTGTGACGAATAAAATATCTGCAAAAAAATCCTTCTGATTAGACAGAGGACTATCTGACGATCAAGTTTGTGTAAGGAGTGGTATTAACTTGAAAATGCTGCGGTGTAGATATAAAAAAGAAGAAGAAGAAGATAACCAGCTGTATGTAACAAATGAAAAGATTCAGAACCTTCAACTTTGGGTTTTTTTTTTACTGCTAATATAGTTAAGAGACTCGTCAAATTATATAAAAAGATGAGCAAAATTCTCTATTATTTTACAGCCAACAACTTCAAATACTAATTGAAGAGATAAGTGTTCTTAAATTGACAAGTCATTATTGAAAATATACGATGATATTATTATTGGTGTGAGTTTAACAAAAATAACATTAGGAGCACATCTTCATTTATTAGATGTATCTTTTGTTTTTGTGCAAAAATAACATTGGTAACATGCCTTTATTTATTAGATATATTTTATGTTTTTTTGATGGCAGGTTCTTCTCATAATGTATCTCCTTAGTGGTGTTGATATGCCCGCTCATGTATAACTTTATTGTGGTTTCTTCCTCCTAGTTTCTGTCCAGATGTATAGGATGGCAATGGGTTAAGTATGAAACAAATATTTATTCTCTTTGAGTTAATAAATATTTATTAAAAACGGTATAATGTCAAAGTTTATCCTCAAATTATTAGAGTTGTGGCAACATAATGCCTATACTATTAATTTAGGTATTTGAACCCTAAATTATTAATTTTTGAAAAAATATTATTCTTTTTTGTTATATTTTATGGTTGTTGCCCTCGTTTAAGCATTTTTTTTTTTTTTTTTGAAAATTACAGCCTGAAATTACAGCATTCCAAGAAGGAACGTCCCTCTCAGGCATTTTATCAAAAAACGAAATAACATTCTCAGTCTCCCTAAGTTTAGTATATCCAAAAATCATAGCAGTCTAAGAAACAACATTTCTTTAAGACATTTTGTCAAACACCCACCTGTCAATCCTAATATCATAACTAGACCTCAAATAAGAATAAAAAAGAGCAATTTGCACAGCTGGGTATTGTCCAAAACACAATTTCTCAATTTAGGTATGCACAATTTTTTTTACTTAACAAGATTTTCAAAACATGAGGTAGCACAAAATTATTTGGTTTTTGGTGTCCTTTTACGAAGTATGACACAAAGCATATGAAAAGATGATCGATGGTCTTGTATAGAGGAATGAACAGTAGCCTTAGCAGTGTAGAGGTAGATGCTGGGGAATTCGAAATTGTTAAAAATGAATGGAACATAGTTAAGGTTATTGAGTTGCAGAATGCAACAACAAATCAGTTAGAAAGTATAGACATTGGTCTGTGAGTGATCGAGAATCGTTAACAAGGATTGGAGTTGATCTAAGTCTTTGCTTTTCGAATCTCAATCAACCTTATTTTTCTTCTTCTTTTTTTCCTTTCCTTTTTCTTTGACATAATCCTCCGTTATCAAATCTCCATTACACCCGCCATCTGATAATGACTGTCAAATTGCGAAGAAGAAAATCGATTGCAGCCTCCCTCTCTTTGTTCAATTATTCGAAACAATTATTCTACAGACGACGTGTCGTCTGTTTTTAACTTATTTTTCTTGAAACTTATTTTAATTTAAAAAAATTAAAATATTTAAATCACGTCTTCTGAGTTTGTTAAATAACAATCGATGTGTTGAACAAGAGAGGATATCATTTGTCTAGAAATTAATAATTTGAAATTAAGATAATTTAAATTGATACCACAATTCTAATAATTTAAGAATAAATTTTGTTTTTAAATTCATTAAAAATGCCTAATGGGATCGAGGCCGATAAGAGTGAAAAATGTATGATAATCAATAAGACTTTTGTGTATGAATACCCACTTTATCCGTTACCAACGCTCACTATTTTTTCGTTTTGATTTTTTAATTTATAGAAACTTGATTGCACAAACTTTATAGAATAGGGATGTAAATGTTTTTTTATGAAAACTTTGAGAATAAAAAAAATTATAAATAAAGGAACAAATTGTTAAAACAATTAATTTTAAGAATAAAAATAATTTTTTTTTAATTATGGAGACTAAAAAAAATAAAAAATTGAAAGCTTATTTGTAGCGGGCAAAACAAGTAATTTTTTAATATGTATGGATATATTATTTTTGCAACGAATATTGTAAGGATTGAATTAATAGATCGAGTGCATTATCCATTGGTTCGCCAATACAATACTTATATGGCAAGTCGGTTTTTTTAATCTGATTATTTCGCCCTTGAGCCGGAGGTTTTAATTTTTTTCATAACAACAACTTTATTAACTTCGGCTGTACTAATGGCTAAACTGGCTTCATTGAAACGCATATTATGACTAACATTTATTGTTGAGGAATAAACCAATTTAAAACTGGGATAGCATCCCTATAGATATACCACAAGAAAATCAAAGCATTTGTGTCCACGTTTCAATCGTGACGGATGCTTTTGGAGCTTGTCATAACCAAAATTTGAGCCTTCTGTTTTCTTTGCAAGTTTTTCAATATATATATATAATTCTAAAAAATAAATAAATTGCATGCTGCTTAATTTATATGACTTTTTGTAATTTTTAGGTAGTCTAATTAGTTTTTAAGATTTTATGATATATTGGAATTTTTATTTCTAATTTAGGAAAAGTAGCCAAAATATATATATATATATATTATACCTCACTCAAATCAATGAATAAGTGTTAGGTAATCAATGATTTTCAAGTTTAGCTTCTTCATTATTGAGTACATCACATTCTCACAACTACCTTCATCTATAATCAATTCATATATCTTGTCATGTAATGTGAAAGAGTGTGGAAAATATTATATCTCATCCAATCTTTTTTGTCAACCATATCCACACTCAATAATCTTATAAATATAAAGGAGAAGATCACGATTCAGATATACAGAAAAAGATGAATTGCAGCAAGAGAAAAATTTAAAATCCTACACTCTAACCAATGACCGAACGCCTTTCAAACTTTATGGAAGATTTATTTCGTAGTGGTGCTCTAGATCGGCTACCCAAGTCATGTCCGAGTGAACTTTTTTCATTCTATTTTTATCTATATGGAATCTTTCACGTCACTCTATCTATTATGAATGGGGCTTTGGGGTACATGAGTATCCTGGGTATATCATATTTGTTTTTTTCTTAAAATAAAATGGTAATTTACAGCTTTCCACAGTCACCAAAGGTTCACAACAATACAAATTTATGAAAGTAATATTAATTGGAATCCTTTTACATCTCTCAATTGGACTAAGATTTAGCCAAAATCGAAAAAGAGGTTTTTTATGGTTGAGTTTGAATTTAGAATTCATGACTTACTCACTACAGTACCACAAATTACCCAACCAAAATCATTAATCATCTGCAAGTGTTAATAGTATTTTCCATCACTAGATTGTTAATATAAATTTAAAATAATCTATTTATTCCCATTGAAATTTAAAAAGTAGTATTTTGTTTAATGAAAACTATTAATTTAGAATACATGCAAAGGTGTCCAATATAAATTTTCATGTTCGGTGCGTAGTTAACCTGTTTGTACACACACACGCATATTTTTTTTTACCAAGAATATACAAGATTGTTAAATGTAAAGAGGATAATCGAACTATATAAGTTTGTAAAGAGTTTAACTAAATGACTAAATAGATGAAGCAATATCAATCCAAATCCAAGAAGGAAAAAGGGAGACATGCAGAAAGGAACAAGACAATTTTATTTAATTCCATGATATATTTTTACGCGGTAACATACACGTGCTACTTATTACAAATCAATATTATGGAACGATTTAAATCTAAGGTTTCCAAGCCAACTACAGGAAAATAACCACACCAAACACCATGAATCATTATTTGATAAACACAGAGACTTTTAAAAACCTTGTAAAGCAATATGGACATTAATCGATCGATAGATGCGTAGACTTAGGCAGGATATGCGTTAGGTTCTAGGCGTGGATTAACCATAGCGGAAAGGGGGACAGCCTTCTGCAATGCTAGACCAAAGGCCTCATCCATGTTGAGCTCCACATCTTTTGGCAATTTCCAATCGAAAGAGTGCACCAATGTGCCTAAAATGTACTGTACCAGCACAATTCCCATTCTAGTCCCAGCACAAATTCTTCTCCCTGCTCCAAACGGAATTAGCTCAAAATCATTTCCTCGAGGGTTGATTTTTGCATATTTCTCACTAAAAAATCTTTCAGGTGTAAAGTCTAGTGGATTGTCCCATACATTAGGATCTCTTCCTATTGCCCAGATGTTGACACTGAGTCTGGTGCCTTTGGGGATATAATATCCATTCACTTCACATGCTTGGTCTGCAATCCTGGGTAGGTTTAGAGGTGTTGATGGATGTTTTCGGAATGCTTCTTTACATATGGCTTGCAGGTATGGAAGTTTTGGTATGTCGGATTCCTGTAGTCGTCGGTTCAGACCAATGACTTGATCCATCTCATCTTGAGCTTGTTTGAGGATGCGAGGGTTTTTCAACATTTCAGCCAGTGCCCATTCGATTATGCTTGAGGAGGTGTCAGTGCCGGCGGTGAATAAGTTCTTGCAATGCAAAACAAAAGTGGATGTTACATGTTAATACGTTATGACAACCCAGTTCAAGGATTAAATTGGGTCAAATGTAAAAGTACGTACATTCCAGTAAATGAAAACATGGAATATGTTAAATAGAACAAGCTTGGAGCTCAGTGACAAGCACCTCCATCTGGATTTAGAGAGACTTGGATTCGAGTTATCTTTTAATTTTCCCTCTAGTTAAACAAGAAAAAAGAGTATAATTGAATACAACTGGCACAATTTTCATATGAATCGATGTGGCACTATTTTTTCTCATGTTTAACCAATTTTTTAATATTGTTGCAAGGATAAAAAAAAAAAAAGAAAAATTCATGTTAGTATTCAATCACATAAATGTTTTTCACAAGTAATTAAAAACTAGCGACAAAAATTTCTGCCCTTCTGTTAACTGATATAGTCAGGGTTGCTATAACTCATATGAGTCATAATGTAATTTGTTTGAATTTCGGCCCCAATATTAAAAAAAAAAAATCTAGAAAAAACATTAATAGTATTTTCTTAATTATGAATTCAGTGGCACCTGGTGGATGCCAGGTTCTTTTCATCGTAACTTGGTGTGGAATTCAATTTTGATGTCTCGACTGTCAAATTAAGGAAAAAGAAAATTCAATTAATTAATGCAAAAAAAAAAGAATAAATATTTATCTTTTAATGTCGCAATTAGTTAGACAATCGCTTAAAAGTTACCTACATTAGTACGAAGTCTTAGACTCATATATATATATATAATTCTTTTTAAGTAGGGGTTTATCACAATTTTAAAAACTTGGTTATAATGTAATGGTTTTTTTTTTTTTTTTATGTTATTGACTGGCTAGTTCTCTCTCTCCAGAGATTTGGATATATATGTGTGTGTGTTTGTAATCCACAACAAATCATAGTTAATTAACTGGAAAACAGTGGTTCGCAGTCAAATGGCCTTGCCTCTATCAAATTCAAAGGCAAAATGCATATTTCTATCTAATTAAAAGGAAAGAAATAACTTTTTTTTTTTTTTTTTGAGATGGAGGCCAATCGATCTAATGTTATTGATTTATTATTATTATTCATCATCGATTTGGACTTGATCTCTTCACTTGCATTTGCATGCGTTATGTGTGCAAGATAGATATACTATGATCTCTTTCATGAAACAAAAAGTGTGCATGGTAAATAGATCATGTGCAAATTCATATGTATAAGCACAAATATGAGTGCGTAATTGGTAATTAAAATAAACAAAAAAAGACAACGGGAAAGAGAGATATACCAAAAGAAGAGCCTTAATGTTGGTAAAACTAAGCCTCTCACCATCCAAATTTTCTTGGTTAGCCATGAGAACGTCAAGGAAATCCGGCTTTCCCTTGCGTTCGTGAGCCGTTGCCATATGCTCCTCCATCATTTTTGTCAATAACACATCAAACCTTCCATGTAATTTCTTCATCCCACGTTCAATTCCTTGTAAATCCAACCAAGCAACCGACGGTATAAAATCACCGATATTGAAAAATCCTGCGCTTGTCATCAGCTCCACTACCATGTCCTTGAACTCATTAGACTCTGAACCTTTTGTAACAAACACACGACGACTAAGTATAATTTGGCCTATCATATTTGCCATACCATAGGTCAACATTTCTGGCACCACCACCGGTTCGCCTCTTTGGCTAGCCTCGCTCATGGCTCGGAGCATGTGGCCTAGCTCGGTTACTCGGACATGAGCCCAATCCTCTAAAGCTTTACCACCTAGCATGTGTAAGTTACTTAATTTGCGTAACAATTTCCACCTTGGTCCGTAATCTGCAAAGACCATGTCTTGTGCATTATAGGCTAAATGAGTTGCACCCGCATTTGGGGGACGGTTTGAGAAATTTAGGTCTAGGGTTTTGAGGAAGGCTCGAGCTGCATCTGGGGTGGAGGCCACAACCATGTTACAAGTACCCATTTTCAGGTACATGACGGGGCCATATCTTTTGGCCATTTTGGCTAATGTGACATGGGGCATGGTTCCTAGGAGGGGAATAGCACCAATGATCGGCCACCCTCGAGGGCCTGGAGGGAGTTTATGGAACAATTTTCTGATCAAAGACCGAGTTAAAAGGTAGTTGATGAAGAAGATGAGAGCCGCCATGGTGAGTTCCCCAAGAAGGATCATGGCTAAGGCCATGATATAAGCTGGTACAAAAACAATTAATACCAGCTAGCTCAAACAGTTAAGTAATAACTAATGAGTAATAGTTTATAGGTTTGGGTAGAAGTATGGCCAGTAATTGATTTATATAGCGGTTCGTATCAAGGTTGATGGTAGGTTAGCTAGCTAGGGCACGTGAGGCTGAGCCTTCCACACCTTAAATTCCTGACTACCTGAAGACTTATGGGTGGGATGCGCACTTACCGGAAGAGATCATGCTATGCCGATTTAACGATGTAAGAATTTATATAGTAATTTATTAGGAATTTAATCTTATCCCGTGTAAATTACATTTTATGAAAAAATAATTATTAAGTAAGAGACACATAATAATTAGGATATTATTTGATTACTAGAAAACAAAGACCTGAAATGAAAATACAAAAATAAAATAAAAAATAAGGTATTAGAATGATATTTTTATTTTAACATTATGTTTGGAATAATAATAAAAAATCTACATAAAGTTTAAATTTTTTTAATATCTAATTTTTAAAATAAGTGAATATAAATAATTAAAAATAATAATTTCATTGTAATAAAAATGATAGAAATATTATGATGATGGTTGGAAAAAGAGAAAGAGAAGATGATCGGTAATAATAATAGTATAATAATATCAATAACATATTTTAAAAACAATTGATATCACCATGATAGAAAGCCAAACTCAAAGAAAAATAGTGGTGATAGTGATACAATAAAAACGAGATATTCATACTCAATTTTTATACCAAAAGAAAATGAAAGCATTTGCGTCCACGTTTCAATCATGATGGATGCTTGTGGAGCTTGTCACAACCAAATTTTGAGCCTCCTATTTTCTTTGCAAGTTTTTCAATATATATATATGGATATGTATTGCATACTCCTTAATTTATATGACTTTTTGTAACTTTTAGGTAGTCTGATTAATTTTTAAGATTTAATGATATATTGGCATTTTTATTTCTAATTTAGGAAAGTAGTAAAAAAAGTAACATGTATATATAAACAAATAAATATTATACCTCATCCAAATCAATGAATAAGGGTTAGGATGATCAATGGTCTTCAAGTTCAGCTTCTCCATAATTATTGAAGGCATCACATTTTCACAACTACCTCCATAGATGATCAATATTTCACACATTTTGCCATGTAAAATATTATACCTCACCTAATCTTTTTGGCCAACCATGTGCACACTCAATAATTTTGTACACATAAAGAAAAGATCTCACTTCAAATATAAAGAAGAAATGAATTGTAGCAAGAGAAAAAATTTAAAATCCTCAACCTTAGGTCCGATGGCTGGTTATGTATCTATAAGATTTGTCAAATTGTATAGAATGGATAATAGAGTTATCAATTTCTTTATTGTCAACAAGATCTAATTTTGATGAGTGGATGAATTTATCTAATGTTCAAGGATCATCGTTGAGCAAATGCATTGGCATCATGGTTATTGTTAGTTGGATGAACTTGACATTAAGAGATTGTCTTCCTTTAATTAGGGATGGCAATCCAACCCGTCCCGAAGCCACCCCCCGCCCCGTTTGGAGTAGGGATGGGGCGTGAAATTTTACTCCGAATGAGACACGTGGCGAGGTATGGTTTTTTTTTGAATTTTTGGCGAGGCAGAGATGGAGATGGCGATCCCTGCCTCACCTTTTTACCATTAAAAAAGGTAATTTGGTGGGACCTCGCCCCGCTCCGTCTTGTTTGGGGTGAGAATAGAGAGCGAAATTTCACTTCGAACGAGACACGTGAGCGAGGATGAGTTTTTTTTTAGGGGACAAGGCGGGGATGGGGATTGGGATCCCCGCCGCGCCCCATTGCCATCCTTACCTTTAATGTGTACCATATGTGCTTTTGGTAGGCACAGGATATGTATAAAACACTAAACTTGTTGGAGTATTTTTTATAAAATATTAGAAAAAAAATGTTTCAAAGTATTATTTGGAAATAGTAACATGACTGTTTTGAAACAACCATGCAAGTTATGCATAAGTGTTTCAAAACAGTCAAATGCTTTAAATTGCATAATTAAAAACAAACGTTTTTTCTTTTAAAACCATTTAATTTGTTTTATTAATTCATGGTGTCCAACGGACACTTTTTCTTTCTATATAAATGGCTCTTGCCATTTGATGATATATATAGCTACAACCAAAAAAAGCTCAACTATGATAATAATATATCCTTGCTTATTAGAGAGAAAAAGTGCAGCAGTCTTTTCTAGTGAAGAAAAATAATTCTTCATTTTTTGTGTTCTTTAATCTCTCACTATAAAGCCATATAATGTTTATTTATTTTATTTTTTAGGTAAAAGAGGTACTAAATTTTATTTAAAGTTTCAAGTCTTACAAATAGTGTAAACTTATTAAGATACGATAAAGTGACTAAGCTTGTTGTATCCCCGAGATGACGTGCAACATATTCTTTATCCGTTGCATTAGATAAATTATACGGATGGCACGTATCGTCTCAAAAAGCAATCTCGATTGTGTCTCAAGCCAGTCATCTAAAATTATGATAAAATCATTTTGATAGTTCGATCATCTTAATACCATGAAATATTGTAATGTGACTTTAATTATTAATTTTTCTAATAATCAAAGTAAAAAGTTCAAATTATTTATTTATTTTAATTTACAATAAATTTATTTATTTATTATATCAATTTTTATTATTTAATTATATTTATTTTTGTGTGCTACGAACAACAAAACTAATGACGGAACGCATTCCAAACTTTATGGCAGTGTCGTTTCGTGGTGGTGCTCTCGATCGCCTCACTCAAAGTCATGCCAGAGTGAGCTTTGTCCATTCTAATTTTATCCATATGGAATCTTTCACACGTCACTGTATCTATCTATTATGAATGGGGCTTTGGGGTACATGAGTACCCTGGGTATATCATATTTGTTTTTCTCTTAAAATAAAATGGTAATTTACAGCTTTCCCCAGTGACCAAACCTTTTGAAGTTCACAACAATACAAATTTCTGAAAATAATATTAATCGGAATCCTTTTACATCTATCAATTGGACTACGATTTAGCCAAAATCGAGAAAAAAGGTTTAATGTGGTTGAGTTTGAATTTAGAATTCATGACTTACTCACTACAGTACCACAAATTATCCAACCAAAATCATTAATCATCTGCAAGTGTTAATAGTATTTTCCATCATTAGATTATATTTATTCTATTGAAATTTACAACATAGTCTTTTGTTTAATGAAAACTATTAGTTTAGAATACATTCAAAGATGTCTCAATACAAATTTTCTTCTTTAGTGCGTAGTTAATCGTTTGTACACGCACGCAGCGTACACACACACACACACACACACACACATATATATATATATATATATATATTATCAATAATATACAAGATTGTTAAATATAAAGAGGATAATTGAATTATATATGTTTGTAAAGAGTTTAATTAAATTACTAAATAGATGAAGCAATATCAATCCAAATCCAAGAGGGAAAAAGGGAGAGAGATGCAGGAAGGAACAAGACAATTTTATTTAATTCCATAATATCTTTTTACGCGGTAACATACACATGCTACTTATTACAAATCAATATTATGGAACGATTTAAATCTAAGGTTTCCAAGCCAACTACAGAAAAAACAGAAAAACAACCACACTAAACACCATGAATCATTATTTGATAAACACAGAGACTTTTAAAAACCTTGTAAAGCCATATGGCATGCAGGAAATGGACATTAATCGATCGATAGATGCATAGACTTAGACTTAGGCAAGATAAGCGTTAGGTTCTAGGTGTGGATTAACCATAGCGGAAAGGGGGACAGCCTTCTGCAATGCTAGACCAAAGGCCTCATCCATGTTGAGCTCCACATCTTTTGGCAATTTCCAATCGAAAGAGTGCACCAATGTGCCTAAAATGTACTCTACCAGCACAATTCCCATTCTAGTCCCAGCACAAATTCTTCTCCCTGCTCCAAACAGAATTAGCTCAAAATCATTTCCTCGAGGGTTGATTTTTGCATATTTCTCACTAAAAAAATCTTTCAGGCGTAAAGTCTAGTGGATTATCCCATACATTAGGATCTCTTCTTATTGCCCAGATGTTGACACTGAGTCTAGTGCCTTTGGGGATATAATATCCATTCACTTCACATGCTTGGTCCGCAATCCTGGGTAGGTTTAGAGGTGTTGATGGATGTTTTCGGAACGCTTCTTTACATATGGCTTGCAGGTATGGAAGTTTTGGTATGTCGGATTCCTGTAGTCGTCGGTTCAGACCAATGACTTGATCCATCTCATCTTGAGCTCGTTTGAGGATGCGAGGGTTTTTCAACATTTCAGCCAGTCCCCATTCGATTATGCTTGAGGAGGTGTCAGTGCCGGCCGTGAATAAGTTCTTGCAATGCAAAACAAAAGTGGATGTTACATGTTAATACGTTATGACAACCCAGTTCAAGGATTAAATTGGGTCAAATGTAAAAGTACGTACATTCCAGAAAATGAAAACATGGAATATGTTAAATAGAACAAGCTTGGAGCTCAGTGACAAGCACCTCCATCTGGATTTGGATAGACTTGGATTCGAGTTATCTTTTAATTTTCCCTCTAGTCAAACAAGAAAAAAGAGTATAATTGAATACAACTGGCACAATTTTCATATGAATCGATGTGGCACTATTTTTTCTCATGTTTAACCAATTTTTTAATATTGTTGCAAGTATATAAAAAAGAAAATTCATGTTAGTATTCAATCACGTTAATGTTTTTCACAAGTAATTAAAAACTAGCGACAAAAATTTCTGCCCTTCTGTTAACTGATATAGTCAGGGTTGCTATAATTCATATGAGTTTTGATGTCTCGACTGTCAAATTAAAGGAAAAAAAATTCAATTAATTAATGCAAAAAAAAAAGAATAAATATTTATCTTTTAATGTCGCAATTAGTTAGACAATCGCTTAAAAGTTACCTACATTAGTACGAAGTAATAGACTCATATATATATATATAATTCTTTTTAGGTAGGGGTTTATCACAATTTTAAAAACTTGGTTATAATATAATGGTTTTTTTTTTTTTATGTTATTGACTGGCTAGTTCTCTCTCTCCAGAGATTTGGATATATATGTGTGTGTGTTTGTAATCCACAACAAATCATAGTTAATTAACTGGAAAACAGTGGTTCGCAGTCAAATGGCCTTGCCTCTATCAAATTCAAAGGCAAAATGCATATTTCTATCTAATTAAAAGGAAAGAAATAACTTTTTTTTTTTTTTTTTGAGATGGAGGCCAATCGATCTAATGTTATTGATTTATTATTATTATCATCATCGATTTGGACTTGATCTCTTCACTTGCATTTGCATGCGTTATGTGTGCAAGATAGATATACTATGATCTCTTTCATGAAACAAAAAGTGTGCATGGTAAATAGATCGTGTGCAAATTCATATGTATAAGCACAAATATGAGTGCGTAATTGGTAATTAAAATAAACAAAAAAAGACAACGGGAAAGAGAGACATACCAAAAGAAGAGCCTTAATGTTGGTAAAACTAAGCCTCTCACCATCCAAATTTTCGTGGCTAGCCATGAGAACGTCAAGGAAATCCGGCTTTCCCTTGCGTTCGTGAGCCGTTGCCATATGCTCCTCCATCATTTTTGTCAATAACACATCAAACCTTCCATGTAATTTCTTCATCCCACGTTCAATTCCTTGTAAATCCAACCAAGCAACCGACGGTATAAAATCACCGATATTGAAAAATCCTGCGCTTGTCATCAGCTCCACTACCATGTCCTAATGATCATTATACTCTGAACCTTTTGTAACAAACACACGACGGCTAAGTATAATTTGGCCTATCAGATTTACCATACCATGGGTCAACATTTCTGGCACCACCACCGGTTCGCCTCTTTGGCTAGCCTCGCTCATGGCTCGGAGCATGTGGCCTAGCTCGGTTACTCGGACATGAGCCCAATCCTCTAAAGCTTTACCACCTAGCAGGTGTAAGTTACTTAATTTGCGTAACAATTTCCACCTTGGTCCGTAATCTGCAAAGACCATATCTTGTGCATTACAGGCTAAATGAGTTGCACCCGCATTTGGGGGACGGTTTGAGAAATTTAGGTCTAGGGTTTTGAGGAAGGCTCGAGCTGCATCTGGGGTGGAGGCCACAACCATGTTACAAGTACCCATTTTCAGGTACATGACGGGGCCATATCTTTTGGCCATTTTGGCTAATGTGACATGGGGCATGGTTCCTAGGAGGGGAATAGCACCAATGATCGGCCACCCTCGAGGGCCTGGAGGGAGTTTATGGAACAATTTTCTGATCAAAGACCGAGTTAAAAGGTAGTTGATGAAGAAGCTGAGAGCCGCCATGCATGGTGAGTTCCCCAAGAAGGATCATGGCTAAGGCCATGATGTAAGCTGGTGCAAAAGCAATTAATACCAGCTAGCTCAAACAGTTAAGTAATACCTAATGAGTAATAATTTATAGGTTTGGGTATAAGTATGGCCAGTAATTGATTTATATAGCGGTTCGTATCAAGGTTGATGGTCGGTTAGCTAGCTAGGGCACGTGAGGTTGAGCCTTCCAGACCTTAAATTCCTTACCAGCCAGCTCCTTGAAGACTTATAGATGGGAGTAGCTTGTAACCCGCGCTTCACTGTAGGCTTTATACAGTTAGATGAACGATCAACGATACTGTTCATAAATGAGATTATAAAATAAGGTGATATGTACAAATAAATCTAAAATCAATGGATTGATAAGCGAAAAATTAATCAGGACCTATTTATTCTACTCTTCGGATTAGTGCTGTGTGATGTAGTTTGTGAAAAAGCTTTTTTATTTATTTATAAAATGCAAGAAGGTTTGTGCCGTAAATGAAAAGGATTATAGTGTTGATAATTGAGGATATTTTTTTCTTCTGACTTACAGATCCATTGAAAAATGCTTCATCATGCACAACACTACACAACAGGCGAAACTAAACATTTTTATTTCAGTTTAAGAGGTTATATTATGAGTTCGATTAACTAAAATATATTAAATTAAATGAAAAAATAATTCATCTAATTTCATACTATTTGGTTTAAATTTTGTATTTTATTTATTCTTCTTAATATTTTTTATTATTAAAAAATAGAAAATTTACTAATTTTTTAAAAAACCTCTTAATATTTTTTTTATATGACTACATCACAAATAAAGCAAAAATCAATAAGAAAAGTAGTATGAAAAGATGTATTTAAATTATTAGATAATTCTTCTAAAACTCTAATTTAATTATTTTTATTTGGAAAATATTATTCTAAAATATATAAAAAAATTAATAGCGAATGATTAGTGTTATGCAGAATTGTTGTAATGACTACTTTGAGAGCAAACACAATTCTTAATTAACTTTTATTTAAAAAGTATTCTTAAATTTGTTAGTGCATCAACTAAGATTAAATTTTGTTCACATGAAATGGTGAAACACAATCCCAAATGCCAGAAATTGCATTTAAAAAAATAGATTGTTCATTGATATAAATCTTTTTTTATAAATAATTATTGTGTTTGTTATACAAATTAAAAAAAAAAAAATCAATAGTAACAAAATCAGGAAGAAGGGCCTCAAGCTTTGTAAGTTCCTTCTTCTTTCATTCCTTTTGGAAGACGACTTTAGCATGCTAGGCTTGGTGAAATCCATTGGTGAAGATTCTGTGCAGAAAGAACTTTTATTCTTCAAAGAGGTTGATACTGTCCTTTCTGTGTATATAGGATCACACCTACATAACAGAAATGGCTCTCCCTTTTCTTTTGAAGTTAGGACTTGACCTACAGCTTATACCACCTTGCTTCTCGCAGAGGGTCCAACAAAATTAAGCCTCCAGGTCAATGGCATTAAAATGTAACTATTATGGAAAGATCATGTTTCTTACTCTTCAAAGTAGCAAAAGATTAACCTTTTTTTTTTTTTTCTGAGGATGAGTACCAGAAGATAGTTTTTTTCCTGAGGTTAAGCACCAGAAGATGATAGCTAAGTATCTCAAAACATCGAACAAAAAAAAATAAATAAATAAAATAAAATAAAAGGAATCCATTTTCTAACTAAGCACCAACAAACTAATGCAATCAAATGTATCTATAGCAAAAGCTTACACATTTCTCCCATCCTAAAAAATTAAACATTTTTTATCCTTTATATTATAACTTATGCAAGTAAGTTGGATCCTCAAGAATTTCCTTTTTCAGCAAAGCAAACCACTTTAACAAACCAATTCTACCACCAATGAGTTAACAATTGGAAAAATCAATAATTTAACAACTGAAAAACTTGCCAAGGCAGTTAAATAATCGCAAATACAAAAGCAAATTACCAAACAGAAACTCCAACATGGATGCAAAGATAATCCCAATACCAACCAATATCAGAACACATAAATATATAGTGAGCTTCGAAAAAAGAATATAATTAAATACCACTGCCGTAAGATAAGCAAAAAAAAAAAAAAAAGTACCTGAATCATCTGAAGCAGTTTTGATGCATTGCTGGGCACAGCAGATATATCTGACTTGGCCCCTGATTTAGAATCTGCAGAAGCAGGCAGTATCAGAGCTACTCTCTTCTGATCCTTCATCATTCTCTTTTACACTCAAAACATGGATGCAAAGATAATCCCAATACCAACCAATATCACAACACACAAATATATAATGAGATTCGAAAAAAGAATATAATTAAATACCACTGTTGTAAGATCAGCAAAAAAAAAAAAAAAAAGTACCTGAATCATCTGAACCAGTTTTGGATGCATTGCTGGGCACAGCAGATATATCTGACTTGGCCCCTGATTTAGAATATGCAGAAGCAGGCAACATTAGAGCTACTCTCTTCTGATCCTTTATCATTCTCTTTTACACCCAAAGCAACTGAACCAGCCTCCAAATCGGTCTGCTCTTCTTTTCTTGTATCATTAGTGGATTCTTGTAAATGAGACCCAGATTGACTATCAATGACATTTACATTATTATTATTAACACCACCTAAACTAATGAGCACCACAAAATTTTATTCCATCTGTAACATTTAATTTCCAAAGAATGATTATTACAAATAATAATTAGGACTCATCTCCTCCTCTTGAAATCATTCATTTCAATACAAAGTCTTACCCAACAACCATAAAGCTCAAAGGCTTATTATAAAGCATCAGCATTTAAAACAACTCAATTAATTGCAGCATTGTTCACCTGCAGATGGTTTAAAGTTTGTCATAATGCACATAAGAATTCAGCACTTACAGGAGATCAAGAAAATTAGAATCTAACTGATTTATCATCCTACCAAGATATCAGGCTTTCCAAATTTGGTTTTGACACAACCAAAGAAGCAATGCTGTCGGAATCAGCAACATCAAGCTGATATTACTATAAAATAAAGAATAAAATTACTCTAGTCACTCCTAGCCAACAATATGGTTGTGCATGATGAAAGTTTGCTAAGATGGCAGATTAAATTCGGTAAAAGATAATATGTCGGATTCCAAGCAACAATATAAAGTGAACAAAACCATTCTTCCACCATAGAGAGGTCATCCTAATTCTCTCAAAGCGTAGTATGAAAAGATTTGACTCCAGGAATACTTTGGGTTTCAAATGACAGTGTCACCCTTTCCTCTTTGTCACGAACATGGAATCAAACAACAAAAAAAAACTGGCCACTTTCATGTTCAATCTCTACAATTCCACAGGGGAAGTTCAAAATATCCCACCAGAAAAAGAACAGACTTCAAGGTTGAAAAAGCATGAAGTACTTACAAAATAAGGAAGAAAATAAAGAAATATATATTACTCAACGCAAGGATCAGTGTTAACAGCACTAATGAGTTGCAGAGAGACCTCCTTGGCCTAACAACTCATGAACACGATCAAGAAGAGATGCATGGAAAATATCACTCAAATCCAAAACATTCTTCTGCATCGACACAACAGCGCCCTTGATTTTCTTGCACTCATCACCACCACATTTCAACCTTTTATCACCATCAATGTTACCAATAAAGGCATCAAAATATCACTAAAATCCAAAACATTCTTCTTCATCAAAACAACAGTGCCCTTGATTTTCTTGCAGTCATCACCACCACATTTCAACTTTTTATCACCATCACTGTCACCAGTAAAGGCATCAATAATATTCTGAAACATTATCTTTCTCTCTTTTTCTTGCTTTTTGGTTGACGAAACATGGAACTCTGACCCAAGCATCTCATATAGTCCAAGATTCAATGCGCTACTCAAATCAATGATCTAAAAACGCCAATCATTTCATTATGATGGTTCCTAAAAAGCACCTGCAAGGAAGAATAATAAAAGAAGCTAAATTAGGTGATGGTTTTCTAAGAAGCAATTTTAACAAACAACCAAAGGGCATAAATGCTTCCCCCTCTCTTCTCTAATGGCGCCTTTCTTTTTATTGGCCAACGATTCTGGAAATTGAAATCGTTGATTGGAAACAATTTGCTAGAACCATTAACAAATTCATTTCTCCAATCGCTACACCTATTCTGTATGGGCCATGACAATAACCACAATTTAAAATTATGTTGCTGAAGGTTTGGATGAAGGCTGTGATGGTTGCTTTAGTATGGCAATCATTTGATTATGATGCCAGCCAAATGGCATAAATAAGCAACACAAACAAACTTAATGGGAAAGAAATGATAAGGATGAAAAAAGGAAAGGAAATGATAAAGATGAAAGGAGGAGAGGAGAGGAAATGAACAACAGAGAGAAAGAAAGGATAGATGGGAAGGCTGAAAGGGTGGGAGGCCGAGTTCACAGTATCAACGAGTGTATGTAAATAGTGATTGAATAGGAAAACCGTCATCTCATTTAGTTTCTTTTGTAATGTAATGCGCACTTACCGGAAGAGATCATGCTATGCCGATTTAACGATTTAAGAATTTATATAGTAATTTATTGAAAATTCAATCTCAACTCGTATAAATTAGATTTTATGAGTAAATAATTATTAAGTGAGAGACACATAATAATTAAGATATCGTTCCGATTATTAGAAAAAAAGATTTCATAATGAAAATACAAAAAATAAAATAAAAAATTGAATATCAGAATGATATTTTTATTTTAATACTATGTTCAGAATAGTAATAAAAAATCAACATAAAGTTTAAATTTTGTTAATTTTTAATTTTTAAAATAAATAAAAATAATAATTAAAAAATTAATTTTATATCATTGTAGTAAAAATGATAAAAATATTAGAGATGATGGTGAAAAAGAAGAAAAGAGAAAGTGATGAGTAATAATAATTGTATAATAATATTGATAATATATTTTAAAAATAATTAATGTCACCGTAATAAAAGTCACATTGGAAGAAAAATGATAATGATAGTAGTATATTAAAAATCGAGATATTCATGCTAAATGTTTTTTTAATTTCTGATAGCAACATCATGTCTATTGGGCCAAGTTCTATATTAACCAAACATGAGCATTTAATGCTATGTTTTTTTTAATAGCTATATCATGTTCATTTGATTAAGCCAGCAATTGCTAGCCTGCCATAAGCGAAAAGTAAAAAAATAATAATAAATAATAAAATTGGGTGTTGGTCAGTAGTGGCAAACAGCAATTGCTGACCAGCGGCATATTTTTGAGAAGGAGAAAAAAAAAAAAAAGGGAAGAAATAGGCATGGGTCAACCACACGTTTCAAAAAAAAAAAAAAATAGGGGACTGGTTAGCACTAACTAGCCCTAAGTTTCAAGGAAAAAAAAATTGGAAGACATAGGCACTGTTCCGCTTTGGCCAGTAGCAACGGCTAGTAAGCATGTTGGCTAGCCACAAGTTTTCAAAAAAAAAAAAAAAACAAAAAGGGGGTGCACTGACCAGTAGTAATTGGAGGCCTCATGCTGTCGTGCTCTTATACCCAAATTGATTCTAAGCCAGAGCCCAATAAATTAGATAGAAAACATGAGGAAAGTCCATTAAATTTTTTTAAAAAGACTTATTAGTTAATCTCATTTAAGATCCAAAGTCTAGTACGTATATAAGGCCCATTTCGTGCATGGAAGGTTTAGTCAGTTGTTCCAAGAAAACGGGAAAGAATTGAAGAATGCACTTGAGCATCAAACCTTTCAAGACAAACTTGGTCACAAAAGATGCTAAATTGAAGGGCAAGAACATGCAAAGACAAAATTGGAAGAGAAAAATGAAAATTTTAGAGGAATCATGAGGATTGCAAGAGGTTTGTCGCTACTCGATATCGGACGAGACTCTCAAAAAATAAATCTAATTGTATTATTTAGATTTTATATTTTTTTATTTACAAAAATGAAGTTGCTACCTAATATTAAAAGAACTAGTAATCTAAACTAGACACTCGATTCATAGATTCTATGATAACGAGTTGGTTATGCTTTGAAAAGATATCGACCATCCAAAGATGCTCTTTCCTAAGAAAAGTACCACATCTAATTTAGTCCTCAATTCATCTTGTAGAGAATTTTATTTTTGCCCAACTATTTTTTTATTTGAACTCTATTTTATTCACCTATTGATTACTTAGTCTAATTATTAAACAAATAAAAAAATAATCCACAATTACATTAATTAAATAAATTAAAGGAAATTTAAACATTGAAATGACAATTAAACATAAAACAAAAACATATATAAAATAAATTCACATTAAATGAAATAAAACTATTTTTATTTTTATTTTTTTAATTTTTTTTTTGGTTGGAAGCCCAATTTTCTTTCTTCTTTCTTGTTTTTTTTTGGGAGAGGCCTCTCTTATTTCAGTTTTTTGGGCGAAGGCTGGACTGATTCCATGCCTTCTCTTTTTTTTTTTTTTTAAATTTAAGTAGGAGGAGGGGTCCAGTCCAGCCCCTTTTTCCTTTTTTTCTTCTTCAGCAGAGATAGGGGAGAGCTGGACTGAAGTCAGTCCAGCCAGCGCGTCTTTTTCTTTTTCTTTCTAAACTCACTGGGCTTAAGCCCACAAACAGGCTCAGATGAAAAAATTAAAAAAAAAAACGGATCAAATGGCTCTTGACCCTCTCTCTCTCTCTCTTGTTCTTCGTTTTCTCTCGCTAGTTCATCATTTTTTCCTAGGAAAACAAAGGCTCCTTCCAAGCAAATGAACCAACTAAATCATACCATAATTTAAAACATGAATAAAATAGCAAGCAAGTAATTGGAACTAAAGAAAAAATGGAATCAAAGCTGGAAATCCCAGGAGCTGACCTAGGAAACGGATGAAGAACGCCAAGAACAAACCCAGAAATGACGAACCCCAAGCGACGATTTCTCGTGATTTTTGACTCTTGACCCTTGATTTCTTTTCCACCACACCTAAGTAACGATAATCTCACTCAAAACCAACTCAAACACCCTTCGATCGACCTAGGGAATGATGAAGACCAACCCAGGAAGAAGAACAAAAACCCAGAAAAAAATAAGAACAAAAGCAAGGATGCCCAGAAATCTGAAGAAGAAAACCCAGGAATGGAGGAATTGGAACCCAAATTTTAAGAAGTAGGGTTGAGAAAGCCTTGAGGATGGAAAATTACCTTTGAATTACCCAAAACAATGAACTAAGAGGGTGACAATTTGAACTAGAACCCAGAACCCTAAGAACACCAAGAGCGGCTGCCTAGAACTTGTAGCACTATCACCCCCAAATTTTTGAATTTTTCAACTCTCTTTTGCTTTTCTTTTAACCCTCTCTCAAACCCGATTTTTTCTCCAACCTCTTCTCCCCCCCCCGCCGGAAGACGATTTCTTCCCCCTATTTATAAGCTAAATCTAACATCAAACAGTGACGGGGAGCTACTGCAACAGGGGCAGCATGGGTGGCTGCCAATGGCAGCATGGGTTTGCTGCAAAATCCAACGTGATTCGTGGATTCAAATCAGTAGAAAATGAGGGATTTTTGTCCATGGAGTGTGCAACAATATCAGCATTAATTGTTGAGCGTAGGAATGAATTTGCAGAGAAAAATTGAATTGATTGATCCTGGTTTTTATTTCCAAATTTCACTTTGGTCCCTTTAAATTTCAATTGTCTAAAATCATGCTCTTTTCTATGCAATTTCCGTCCTTGTAAATTGAATTTTATCAATTGGATTCTTTTATTGAGCAATTTCAATTTTGGTAAATCCAATCGTATCAATTAGGTCCCCAATTACTTCAATTACAATTTCATTTAGTTCAATTGCATTATTGGGTGTAAAATTTCTCAATTTTTTTATGTATTTTTGTATTTTTTTTACTTTTTTTAGTTTTTTTTATAGTAAATTCTAAAGTGAAATAAAAATGTACGGGGCAAATAAAATATTCAAAAATATGAGAAATTTTTTTGTTATGACAGAGGCCCCCTTGTTACAATGTTTATTATACAAAGTCAAATGAAAAATATTTTTTTCAATGACTTTATATAATAAGCTTGTAAAGATTTTTTTTGGTTTTTTTTTTTTTCTTTTTCGGATTAATTTGGTTGTTCTTGGCAACCTTCATTGGAAAAAAAAATGTGATAGGTCGACTTTGTTATGAAGAACGACTTTGTTATGCATTATAGGACTATGTTGTGGTCATCCGCAAAAAATAAATATGCATTGCAAGACCAATATTGCGGTCATTTGGACAAAATAAATATGCATTGATGGACCATATTGCGATCATCTTGAAAAAATAAACATGCGTTACGAGACCAATGTTGCGGTCATCTTAAAAAATAAACATGCGTTACTTGGATCAATTTTACGATCACTTTGAAAAAATAAATAAGCTTTCATTGGACCAATGTTGTGGTCACTTTGAGAAAATAAATAGGCATTGCGGGACCCATGTTGCGGTCACTTTGAAAAATAAACATGCATTGCGGGACCATGCTCGCGGTCATCTTGAAAAAATAAACATGCATTGTAAGACCCATGTTGCGATCACTTTGAAAAATAAACATGCATTGCGGGACCATGTTGCGGTCATCTTGAAAAAATAAACATGCGTTACTCGGACCAATGTAATGGTCACTTTGAAAAAATAAATATCCGTTGCGGGACCAATGTCACGATGACTTTAAAAAAATAAATATGTGTTACAGGACCAATGTTGTGATCATTTTGAAAAAATAAATATGCAATGCGGGACCATGTTGCGAGTCATCTTGAAAAATAAACATA